CCAAAGAGTGTCTTAAGTGCTAGATGGAGAACAAAGAAATACTATGGTACCTGCTCAAATGGCTTATAATGAATTCCATATTGTTTTGAGTAAAGTAGCTATTATTTTACAGTCACCCGTCCTAAATATAATTTACTTGTAAGTCCTACTGATTTCAAGTAAGCGTGCATGGGGTTGCACTTGTAATATAAAAAAGGTATGCTGCTGGAAGAAATGATTTCCCTTCTACAAAAACCTGTGCTAGATTGTTAGCTTAATAAATCATTGAGCAAAAGTAGCCTAGGACAATGTCTTGCAAAGCATTACCTAATGTTCGGTAACCAACTAGAGGCTATATATAAAAAACAGCATTTCAACGGATCATTGAGAACTAATGAATTTAAGTGAGTTAACAGAAACAAATTTGGAAAAGAAACCATGCTTCAAAACAACGTAATGAAGCAACTTTTAATAGTTGTTTTCAAGTCAGTTGATGAATCCCGATATACAAGCCGTAACTTTTTCTTTTTAAAAAAATGCATTTGTTCCACGCAACAGAGAATATAAATTACAACCAACATCATATACCAACATACATCTGAAGTTCATATATAGCTACAAGGTGTGAAAGAAGTCCCTCAAAATCAATGTAGTTATTCCAGAGTACACAATCTGGTTACCTGCTGGTGAGTGCCTTAGCCCCTAATCCTATACATTTGCACTTGTTATAGGAAGCCTGTGAAATGGGTTTTCATGAAGTGTTGCACCGCTGCAGCCATATGCCCCTTCCTAGTGAAGTACAGTGGTACCTCGGGATGCGAATGGGATCTGTTCCAGAGCCCCATTCGCATCCTGAATAGAACATAAGACACGAATGCGCGTCTGCACGGGTCACGTTTTGCTGCTTCCGCGCATGGACGTCATTTTGAGTGTCTGTGCATGCGTGAGCAGTGAAACCCGGAAGTAACACGCTCCGTTTCTTCTGGGTTGCCACGGAGCGAAACCCGAAAGTGCTCAACCTGAAGCACATTCAACCCGAGGTATGACTGTATTCCAAGTATCACACCAAATTCCTTAAAAAGTGTTTTTTAGTTAGAACATATCCCTAAAAACTCAAACGAAACACCCAAGTGAACTGATCTATGCTTTATAAAAGCTACATTAAACAGACTCAAAATAATACATGTCACTGACCATATGCCCTTATTTACTAAACTAGCAAAATCATATCTGAGGAGAGCAAAGAGAGGAGAGTTCCTTTCCTCCAAAATCCACAATGACCATTGGATTACATCCTCACTCATCACACCACGCCCACTCCTAAAGCAGAACAGCTGTCCTTGACCTCACTTCCAACAATAGTGTTCTGCACAGTTCTTAATAAATGTTCGTTACAGCAGGCAGGATGTGTGTGAGAAGGGCCAGGTAAGTTACCTGCTACGAGGCACATATTTTTAGGACTGCTTGGCACAACCCAGTCCTCAAAATGTAGGCCCTTTGCTTTCGTATAAAAGAAGAGCCCCCATTCTCCAATATGGAAGTAAGTAAAGAGACACCATCGGCACAGTGGCAAACCCCCTTCTCTGGCTCTGGTTACTCCTCCTATAGGGAGGTATTAAACCAGTTCTGGATAGGGCAGTGAAGAACCAAATATTGGGGGGGGGGGGAGAGGGAGGGAGAGAGAGAGAGAGAGACTCCTGAAAACATAAAGCAGTGGCCAGATGTGCCTTTTACCAGTGCAGGCTTGTACACCAGCCCTATCTCAGTTTCCCATGAATCAGCTCCTCCAAGATGGGACTACCTGTGTTGCAGGACTGTCTGGGAGGTTTGGAAACTCGGGTCATTATAAAATGTAGGTATCCAGATGCTATTGGGGGCCATCTGAACGTGTGACACCTGTGTTTGCCACCTCTCTAATAAGCAATGCAACTGATGCAAACTGTCTTCAGCTCAAAGGCCGCATTCAAAGCTGACCAGCCCTCCAAACAGCCACACGCCAGGGGTGATCATGGCCAAAATGGCCAGCAAAACATGCACCTTACATACCACACATGCAAGTACACTCATAAGAGGTTTAAGCATCTCAGCCTAGCACTGTAATGGGATGGTCTCCTGATGGAGAAGACAGGAGTTGGGAGACTTTGTGGACATCATAGAGACCACAGGTTTACTGCTATGTTTCCAAGCCCAACGTGCCCATGTGAACCTTTAAATCAATTTGGAAATAGGTTAGCTTGCACATACACCAATATCAAAAGTCTTGCTGATGTAAAGATTGGCATGCATAAGAGACAGGGCCTTCTCAGTGATGGCTCCAGAGTTATGGGGCTCCTTTCTGGTTATGCCTGGCTCCTTTTAAGTACAGGCCTTTAAGTGGGGCTTGCAAACTGATTTTCACTGCTGCCTTTTCTCAAGTGTGCAAATGATGTGCATGCCTCGGAAAACAATTTTCTCATAATAATTATACCCTATTTGATGTGTCTCAATTTATCTTGTACCTTTTTATATATGATGCTTTGGGTGTAAAAAGTGATTTATAAAGACTCTGAATGAATGCATAAAAATAATCAATAGCAAATCACACTTATCTGCTGACATAATTTATCTTCTGAACATACCACCATAAAGTAAATGAAATTTCCAACGTCAGAATTTTTTTAAAAAACCCAAGATTCCAGAGTTCTATTGCTAATAGTAAAAACCATCAAGGCTGATTTAGATACCAACTCTTTACCCTTAAGTTCCCTACAGAGCATCAAAGCTATTTTCACATAAGTGAAGGTAAACAGAGTCGGCTATTTATGTGAAGATGACTAAGCAGTGTGCACTCTTTTATGCTTTATTATTTACACACATATTAACTACTCTGATATCCAGTTAGATAATGATCATTTAAGTCACGTGAATATATCCCAAGGTCCCCTGTTTTCTAGAGAAGTAGTAAATCATCTTCTCTATGTTGGACAGAGGCACTGTGAGGAAAACCAAAGCAGAACTATTCCAGTAATGTCCATATTAAGGAGTACAGTATGGTTATAATTTCTTCCAAGCAAATTCTGCAGTCTTCCTCACTTTAATTCCTTGTGTAGCAGGTCCAAAACACTTTCAATATGATTTCAAGAAGTCCAACTTGAACGAAGGGCCATTTATGAAACACCTTTGAGGTACTTCAATGTTAGGGAAAGTAGCTGTTAAAATATTATAACAATCCTGAAAGCTAAAATTTGAATATTCAGCTCTGCCCATCCCTGATACATACCCACAGACAAAACCTAGACTGAGCCAAACTCCCAACAATGCAAACTGATGCATGCACCTCTCAATCCATGTTTTGAGAGGGTGCTATTGCCCAAGACTGGCATACACCTAAATATGTGAATGTAGCAAACATGTATATCATACAGGTGTACTTGTCAGGGATTGGCTGCAGCTTCCTGCAGAGTGTACCTGAGCTTGCCTCTGCACAAAAATCTGAAATGGCGCTAAGTAAAAGCTAACAAAGAATACAGATTTCAGTGTTTTAAGATGATCCATCAATTGTAACATGGAAGAAGAAAGTAGTAAGCATTACACCCAAAACAGCTCAGCTGAATCTACCTTATGCACAATTATAGGCCTTACTGCAAGTAGATAAGCTTCAGGACTGACTATAAACGCACTAAGTGACTATCTACATACAATAATAAAAGTAGCAGTAGTACTTAGCAAAAGGCAGGGGTGTCTTAATCGTGGTGCTTAAATAAAGCAGGTGGGGCTAACCTGAAGCCCTCCAGATGTTGCTGAACTAAACTCCTATCAACCCCACCCAGCGTGACCAATAATAAAAAATGATGGGTGTCATAGTTTAGCGACATCTGCAGGGTCACAGGTTAGTCACCTAGATGTGAAGCTTTAGAATGCTCTGTTGCAACCACCCTATATTGTTCTTCATATACGGGGAGTAACATAATGCTCTTGAGACATCCATCCACTTTATGCTTAAAAGCTTCCTGATACAAAAAAATAGCAATCAACTAGTATAAGCCACTGCTTCTCTCTCTTTATTTAAAAAACAGCTCCCCCGCGCCCCCCCTTCAGCACTTCTCTAAAGCCACCACTCTTGCCATATATTTAATCCCTCTGTCCCGCTCCCTCACTTCTTCCAGTCCACAAAGGAGTAAAAAAAAAGAAAAAAGCTAGACCTGGTGCCTCGCCCCCCCTTTTTTTTGCAAACAGCAAATGATCTCCTATGTGTGGGGAGTAAACTCCCACCTCTACTTCCAGCCTCATCGTCCCTTCCTCCCCCCCCAAAAAACACACACCTAGATTCCGCTCCCCCCCCCAATCTCCCCGCCCCACGCAGTGCTTTGCAACACCCAGCACTTCTCCGTCTGGACCACCCCGCCTCTTCTTTCCCCCTCCTCTCTGCCCCCCCCGCCTGAAAACAAAACAAAACAAAACCCGAAACCTAGTCCCTTCTTTCTTTCGAGATGCCTGAGCTTGCCCCCCCACCCCCATGGGTAGAAATAAAACCCCTATTCCCAAACGCACCCTTTTCCATTTCTCCCCCGGATTCCACAATAGTCGTCCATAGTTCCGAGGGCGGGGGCAGGCGAAGGCAGCTGCTTCCCCACCCCCCACCCCCCGAAAAGTCCCTCCCTTTCCGTCACGACCCCTTGATTTATGTGATCTATAAATCAGAGCGGGGGGGGGGAATATAAAAATGTTGAATCCTTTTTTTAACCCCCCCACCCCGCCTCTCTCTTCCTCCCCCCCCCACCCCGCCGTCGCAAAACCCAGCGCTGGAGAGAGACCGAAGGGAGAAGGAGAAGGGCGGAGGCAGCCCGTTCATAAGCAGGCTGCCTTCTCTCCGTGCGCCCTCCCCGCATCCCCAACGGGGCGCGCCTGCTAGGCCCCGCGGCCACGGGACGGGCGCGGAGAGGGGGTCCCCGAGGGGGCTTCAAACCCCCGAGCCCGCCCCCCTCAACTCCTCCAAGTTTATGGCGGCTGGCGATATTCTTGCTCGCTCGCTCTCGCCTTACCTGGCTTGGCGGGAGGAAGGGGAGACCCGCCGGTGGTCCGCTCCTCCGGGCGCGTCGGGGCTCCCCGGGCCAGGCGCGCGGGCGGAGGATTAATAATGGCAGGAGGCGGCGGAAAGGAGCAGGCTGCTCTCCCCGGCGGGCTCCGCTCTTTGTCTCGGCGGCGGCGGCGGCTCCTCTTTCTCTCCCCGCTTGGACCCCGTGCACGGCTTGCTCTGCTTCTCCTTCGCCCAGCGGGCCGGGCGCTCGGGGGCCGCTGGCGTCTCCGCGCTCCCCTCCCGGGCTCCTCTCCGCCTTCCTCCCGCGGCTCGACGTGTCCAAGGCCCCAGCGCTCCTGCCGCCGCTCAGCCCAGCAGCAGCAGCGGGCCCCTCCCCCTCTGCCCAGGCAGGCAGCTCCCTCCCTCCCTCTCCCTCTTTTCCTTTTCCTCCTCCTTCCTCCCCTGGCCGCCCCTTCCCTTCCTGCCGCCGCCGGGATCGCGTAGGGCGGGGAGGAGGAGAGCAGCCCTCCTCTCCCCTGCTTTCCTTTTCCGTCTCCTGGGAGGATCTCCTTCTCTTCCTGCTGCTGCTGCTGCTGCTGCAACAACCCCCCCTCCCTCTCTTCTTTTTTAATTCCTGCTCTTCCTCCCCACCCCGAGCAGGGGGGGGGGGACACACACGATTTTTTTATTTTTGGAGCAGCCGGTGCAAGAACCGCAGCTTCTCTCTCGCTCTTCACACCTACGCGCCTCTCTAATTTGGGGAGGGACTTTTTTTTTCTTTCTTGCTCTCGGTCTGCAGCAGCATCGCGCACTCTTTCGCTTTGATTATGATGGTGATGATCATAATAATAGGAATAAACCCCCGAGATTCAAACTCTTTATTTCTCTCTCCGGGACTTCTGGAGAAGGGAGAGGGAGAGCGCGCGTGGAGGGGCGCAATGGGCGTAAAAGCGCCCCGGAACCGCATAGAAAAGTAGACTGGTGCTTGCGCGGGACTTAGGCGCCCCTAACCCTGTGGAAACATTAGGGAGGTGGGGGGGGTCACCTATCATTAGGGAGGTGGGGGGGTCACCTAACTCCGCCAGATCTGGCTGGGGGACACACTTTTCAGCCATCGACTTACATACACGTGTGCCTGTATTTTAATTTTTGCGCCCTCCCCCGTTGGAGAACGTTGCCCCTCGATTTGTTTCTTAAAAGGCCCGGAGCAGCTTGTAAATCTGGGCTTCCCTGCCAATCCTGTCCCGATTCCAGCCTGCCTTTCTGGATTAGCTCTCAATCCGGGGAAGAGAATCGAAACCGTTAAAACGGGACTCGGGACGCGCGTAAATGGAGAGCTCGGATCCGCGCCCACGGTTTGCTGCGTGATTCTCACCCTCTCTTATTTTAAGGTGCTCATTTGGGGGTGGAAAACAAAAACAGCCCCGTGGAGGAAAGTGCTTCTGATGCTGCTTGTTTTTTCTAGGGGGGGGGGAGGGCATAGATCCAGAAAAGAAACGGGAGCCGGTTTCGAAGACGTCGGGTTTTCTGCCGGCGCGATGCTGCACTTGCACCGCCAACTCAAAAATGGAAAGGAAACCGGCCAATGTTACCATTCCCAGAAGAAGGGAACTTTCGGGCGCAGCGTCACAGCCTCCGAGGAGGCTGATTGGGCAAGGTCGTGATGTCACTCTGGAAGCACCGCCTTCACTCTGGAGGGCAGGAAAACTACCTGTGTCAAAGATAACAGATGTCTAAAGAGTGCAAAACAGTTGCAGCGCCAGTACCGGGCTGAATTGTTAATATTAGAAAACCCACAAATGTTATGCGTTTCGTTGGTTCAATGCCTTTTATTACCCGGCGGGATTAATTATGTCTTCATTTGACAGAATTAATATTTTAGGGCTGTCTGGCAAAGGCCGCTAACAAATAAAACAGGTTAAATAAAATATACAAATATTAACTGCATTGTAGACAGCAGCAATAAACATTAAAAGCAGTGGTGAATACCGAGAACAGGGTGGGACAGCACAAGCCTTTGCTTGTTTACTCATGAGTAAGTTCAACTGCGTCCTATGCCCTTTTAAAATGTGTGGGGGGTTTTTTTTGGGGGGGGGTTATTGGGTTGTTGTTTTTATTTTGATTATATGTTTTGTGGTTTTATATTTTGATTTTGGTCCGTGAACTGCCCTGAGACCTCCAGGTATAAGGCAGTATATAAATTCAAATAATAATAATAATAAATAACATAAAACATAATAACATAATATAACTTTGTTCAGTGTGGTTTAATTCCAGGTAAGTGAGCATAATATTGCAACCTAAAGCAGGGAAATAAAACAGGCCAGCGAAATAGAATTAATCCATTATGGGGGTTGAACTACAACTGGCAAGGGTGCCACCCCATAGAAGGCAATGTCTCTGGTTGCCACCCACTTTGCTTCTGCAGCTGGCAGAACCTGCAGCAAGACCTCTGAACCAGATCATGGTGAACAGGTAGGTTCATGTGGGGGAAAGGCACCATTACCTTGATCCCAAGCTATGTAGTTTTGTAGATTGACACTAGCACCATGAATAGCCTCCACTCAGTGAAAGCCAGTGAAAAACACATTTCTGTACTGGCAGTGTATGTTCTGAGTAGACAGGATCAGGGGAAAAAAAATGGCCAGTTTTCCAGGGAAGCCCTATATGCAGCAATCAATTTTCAATGGTGCCAAGGCATAAATGACTCTGGCAAGACCCTCTGTCCACAGCTAGCAATCCAACGTAAGTTGGTTTTAAAACTGCTTTATACTAAGGCTGTAACTTGAGCATTCAAAGTACTCCCAAGCTGCGGACTTGATTCTTTTGGGGAAGTGGACCACCAACCAGATTAGCTTTTGCATCATCAAAACAAAGATTTTCAGTATTTGGAATCTAAAATTGCATGGAGGTGTAGAACGTAACTGGGGTGCCTATACTCTTGCATGGTCTACTTTCTTAACTAAATCTCCCAGTGTGTTCAGGGTTTTCAAACAAAAATGACACAGTCAAGCTCTCTTAAAGTTAAGGCATAACTATGCTGTGTTAAGTGATTCTGAATATGTGTTTTTTGCTCAACTTTAGCAGTTGCCTCACTGGTCAAACCAAGGTCTGCCATGTTCAGCAATAATCCCAGTCATCAGTAGGTATTAAGTGAGAGGTCAATGTGAAATTAGCTGGCAATCTGCTATGAATCTCAATTTTCCTTTTGTCCTGGTACAGAGTCAGTGAGGAAATCTGATACGCAGGACAAAGGTTAATTAGCATACTCATTGCTCTCACAGTACATAAGGTTCTCTCTCACATTTTCTGGAAATGCTATGTATGCTTACTCGAAAATACATCTTACTAAGTTTAATGAGGCTGATAGCCAGGTAAGTGAGTTGGGTAAAGCTACAACCTGTGTGCTGCACACTTATCTCAAAGTGAGCTCCTAGGATTGAGATTTAAGACGACAATTCTATGCATACATACCTGAGAATAACTCTTAGCAAATTCAGCTGGTTCTTTCCTAAAGATGGCCCAAAAGAACATTTTAATTGCTTAATTTAGATGAATACAGAGCACCCGCTGTTCACGTTTGCACAAACCATTCTTAGACTCTCTTAAGTATAATTGTGAAACCGTGAATGAACTTTTCTTCCCTTCCCCCCTTCCATGTTGAAATATTTATGTTGCAAACAGTCACAGCCCATTGGTGCATGTTTACAAATTTAATAAATAAATAGTTCCACTGTGCTCACTGAGACTCTCAAGAAAGTGTGTTCACGACTGTAGCCTTAGGGTGACACTGAGCACTTTAAATTCTCAGTGGCTGAATCATATAAATTATAATAATAATTATAAGAATAATAATAAATAAACAGCTCAGTCCTGTGCAGAGCTGGAAAGACTTTGCAAAGAATCAAATTGTAAATACCATCCCCCATGGAAATCTAAAATATTTCAAAATGCTTTTGGCTGGCTCATACCCTTGAATTCATAATGTATAATTCACCACTTTAATTAGTTACCACTGAGTCACTTGTGTATCCTTGGCAATGTGTTTCTAATTCAGCCTGAAAGTAACATAGCTGCTCTTCTCACTTGCTGCCATGACTATTGAATTGTCAGTGACATTTACTAAAAACAGACTGAGAGAGGAATGATATCAGGACTTGGAAATGCTTTCGCGTTCCTGTCCTCAAGGCAGCAAAATGATCAGAAGGTGCTTTTAACATCCTGCTGTAAATTGAGATACACAAATTTAGATTCTGTTACAATAAATTCTTTTATTAATAGCACCTCATCTTCCTCACCAGTAATCTCAAGGAATGCGTGGAAAAACTAAATGTAAACGTGGATCTACGTAACTGAGGGCCCATTTACATGAAATCCACATGATAGCTGAGACAGTATACAAGGAGTGATTTGTGGATAGCAGCTCTATGCGCACGCCTAGTTTTCACCATCGTAACACCCATGCTCCTGAGAGATTTTATTTTTTTAAATGAGGTAGAATGGTGAGTGCTGCCAAATTCATGTGCACATGAATACCTTGACATAGTATTATGGCTGGCTCCATAAGTGGAATTTGAAACATCCTTTCATGGATAGCCCAGCGTGGTGCAGTGGTTAAGAGCGGTAGACTTGTAATCTGGGGAACCGGGTTCGCATCTCCGCTCCTCCACATGCAGCTGTTGGGTGACCTTGGGCCAGTCACACTTCTCTGAAGTCTCTCAGCCTCACTCACCTCACAGAGTGTTTGTTGTGGGGGAGGAAGGGAAAGGAAAATGTTAGCCGCTTTGAGACTCCTTCGGGTAGTGATAAAGCGGGATATCAAATCCAAACTCCTCCTCCTCCTCCTCCTCCTCCTCCTCCTCTTCTTCTTCTTCTTCTTCTTCTTCTTCTAAGTCTGCTGAAATTACTCGGAAATATGCACCATTGAATTTAGTAAGCCTTTCTTTTAAGAAAACATCATGCTGTGCATGATCAGCCCTTATATATTATTGGTGAATTTAGGATGCTGCAGCATCCTTTATCTTTTATTGTTTAATTCTTCCACCACTTCCAAAATTATCTCAAATAGGCCTTCTTTTCCCCTTGGGATGTTTAAACAAATATTTTATCATACTATGGATGATTTCC